ATCTAATACAGTAGGGCAACCAATTCCAAATCAAAGTCAAAAAGGGTATACAACGTTTACATTATTCTCAGTTCTCACATTCCTAAATGGAGTGGCAAGTCTCACGTTTGGACCATTTCCTATGAGAATTAGGAGTGTGGAACCAACGCGTAAATGGAATAACCAAAAACCCCACAACTATAAATAGGAGCCGTAATAGTCAATAATCCCCAACCACTGTCTTACAATTCAACCATCATCTATCGATTCGGTCAAACATTTGCCACCAAATACCCAATTATATTCACCAAATTTTTTATACCAAACCCATTCTTCTCTGTCACCTGCTCTGAATCTCAATATCAAATCTGGGTTTCGGAGTTCTCTCGCAATAGCCGCTATTGTTTCTCAAACTTGCGTTTCAATGGCGGTAGCGAGTGGCTTTGCGACCTCTTTTGCAGGTGACAGTTTTCATTCTGATAATTTAAGTTCTACGTCTTGTTCTTCGTCTTTTTCTCCTTCTGTGGATTGTTTCCGTCATCAAGTTAGATTTTTAGGAAACGGTCGAAGAATTAAGCCGTTGGTTTATTTGACAAAATCGCATTCGTTTACCCCTAGATGTGAGGTTGCTTCGAACTCGGTGGTTAATAATGGTGAAAAGGAATCTAAAGCATCGAGTCTTTCAGCTTTGGAGCTTCTGAAAACATCTGCTGCTGATAGTAAGCATCCTTCTCAAGCCTTTTCTTTTTAATTATTTGTTTACTCATTTAGTTAGACATAGGAATTAATAATCTAGACTAGACTATTCTTGTTAGCGTTAAGACTGAGTTAATATGTCTCCAGAAATACTAGTTTAGCTAGACATCTAGGATATATATATATATATTTTTAAAATTTAAATGTGCGTCTTTGATTGAATTGATTTGAGGTTGTGATAGGTTGTAGTAGCTTGATGGCTTGTGTAAACATAGCGTTATTTAAGATATAGACGTAGTTGATTGATTGAATATTGTACGGTGATGAGAAGTTCACTTAAGATGGCTTTAGAAGGTTAGAATTTTCGTCTAAACATTAGCAATTTTTTCTGGACCAGGATATACAAAGAGTAGCAGCAGCATCATGGTTATTGGACTTAACATTCACACAGCACCAGTTGAAGTGCGGGAGAAAGTCGCCATTCCAGAAGCACAGTGGCCTCAAGCAATTCGTGAACTATGTTCCTTGAATCATATAGAGGAAGCTGCTGTATTGAGTACTTGTAACAGAATCGAAATATATGTTGTGGCGCTGGCCCAAAATCGTGGAATTAAAGAAGTGACTGAATGGATGTCTAAGGTAAAATTTTCTTCAATCATCATTATCTGCATAATGTTTTCTTTTGTTGTCTCACATCTTAATCCATGTGATAAACTAGCAACACTATTGCTGATATAAAACCGCAGTCTACTCTAATGTGCATCATCTAGCCTGTGTGTCTTGTGGTCGGTTATGAACAAATTCTTGCTGGTTTCAAAGGTTTAGGAATTACTTTGTATATTCTCCATAATGAAAGATACACTTAAGAATAAACAAAAGATTTGGCGTTGCTATGCCATAAAATACACTGTATTTCTACATTTAAGAAGGAATTGGATTTAATTTACAGTGCTTTGGCTCCCTTGCTCACAAATATCTTTGCAAATGTCTAACTACTTAAAGCACAATTTTCAATGAAATAAAGCCATAAGCTACAGTTCTTGTTGTACTTTATCAAGCAAATCTTTTTGACACAAATATTTTTGATTGGCAGTTTAGTGGAGTTCCAGTTACAGAGCTTTGCCAACACCGGTTTTTGCTATACAATCAAGATGCCACACAACACCTGTTTGAAGTAGCTGCTGGGCTAGATTCCCTAGTCCTAGGAGAAGGACAAATTCTTGCACAGGTCAAGCAGGTTGTTAAGAATGGACAGGGCGTCCCTGGCTTTGGTAGGAAAATAAGTGAGCTATTTAAGCATTCAATCACAGCCGGAAAGAGGGTTAGGACTGAGACCAATATTTCCAGCGGATCAGTATCAGTAAGTTCAGCTGCAGTGGAGCTTGCTTTGCTGAAACTTCCGGAGTATTCTTCTTCTACTGCCCGCGTGTTAGTAGTTGGAGCAGGGAAGATGGGAAAGCTTGTGATCAAACATTTGGTTGCTAAAGGGTGTAAAAAGATGGTTGTAGTTAACAGGACCGAGGACAGAGTTGCTGCCATCCGTGAGGAGTTGAAGGATGCTGAAATAATATACAAACCTCTCTCAGAAATGTCATCATGTGCTGCTCAGGCTGATGTAGTATTCACCTGCACTGCTTCAGAAGCTCCTTTATTTGTAAAGGAGAGTGTTCAAGCACTTCCTGATGTGAACTCTGAATTTGGGGGACAGAGGCTATTTGTCGATATTTCTGTTCCTCGGAATGTGGAGCCTTGTGTCTCAGAACTCAAAGGTGCACAAGTTTACAATGTGGACGATCTTAAAGAGGTTGTGGAAGCAAATAAGGAGGATCGGTTGCGGAAGAAAATGGAAGCTCAGGCCATCATTGCCGAGGAAGTGAAACAATTTGAAGCCCGTAAAGACTCCCTCGAGACGGTTCCAACTATCAAAAAGCTCAGGGCATATGCTGAAAGAATTAGGGCTGCTGAGGTTGACAAGTGTTTGTCTAAGATGGGTGATGATCTCCCCAAAAACAAGAAGAAGGCTATCTATGATCTCAGTCTAGGGATAGTGAACAAGCTGCTACATGGACCAATGCAGCATCTGAAATGTGATGGAACTGAAAACAGAACTTTGAGTGAGATCCTTGAAAACATGCATGCCCTTAACAGAATATTTGGTCTTGATACAGAGATTTCTGTATTGGAAGAGAAGTTACGAGCGAAGATAGAGCAAAATCAAAAGCAATCTTCTTGAGGTTCCTTTGCCATTCAGAATTTTTTAATTATTTTTCCCTCACAAAAAGGTCAACTGGGAGGGTTCAACTGGGAAGTCAACTGGGAGGGTTCAATTGAATATGATCATGGTCTCAGATCCATGTTTTCTGGGAGGGTTTGCTAGTCTTAGCTGTATCAAATTAGAAGAATAATTGATCTAGTGGCCACGAGTTAGATTCCGGGACATTATGAATTTTTTTCTAGGCTTGAGGTAGCCCCATTATTACCACGAGGGATTCCCTCCGATTGTGAGAAAGTTTGTTTTACAGTTGCAGTTGTATTTGTTACTCATTTGTTCCATAAAAAGTATATCCAGATATCTGTTGAATCCTGATGAGTACTCATATATCAAGTTCATGAGGGTTTTGTGAAGCTTCTCGCTCACTCTCTCTGCTTCTTTTTGCTTTCATTATTGTGTCTTTCCCTTTGTCAGTTGGCTCATCCTTTATTTGTTTTTACAATATAGTTTCTGCACCAGCAGGGTACAGACAACATAATAATCCCGTGTTAAGAATATTGAACCATGCATGAGTTACTAGTGGTTAAGGTGGCTAGAAGTGCATAATAATTTAAATCATAGTATTGTCTAATTTTCTTATAGTTATGATATTGCAAGATTCCTGTCTAGCAGGATATCATGAAAACACAAAGAAAGCGTCAGAGAAGTTAATTTCGCTTGCCTTCTTTGCGTGTTTAGTTTAGGGGTGGACATAGTTTGGGCAAATTCGAAATCTGATTTTTTTGGATTTTTGGATTATGGATTGGAGTTCGGATTTTATTTTTAAAAATTTTGGATTTGGGACTTCAAAATTTCGGATATCCGAAAATCCGAATTTTTTTTACCTTATATTTAGCCTTACTAGTTAGACATTAGCTCATTACGGCATTACCCATATACATACTTAATACTAATAAGTCTAAATCATGCCCATTAAACATTAGTCCATATATTCAATACAAATTACTAAGTCCAATATGGGATTCTCTACTAAATCAAATATAATATAGGGTTTTCTTTTCTCTCACGTCTCACCCACAAAGCCACACCTTACGTGCGTTTGTAAACACTAAAGAGTCAAGTCCGAAATTGACTAAAGATTGAATTTTGAGGTCACCTTTCCCAGTTAATCTTTTAATTTATAATAGTATAATTTAAATCAATGTGATGTATTGCATATCCGAGACCTTTTTCTTGAAGAGGCATTATATACAGTCGAGAAGATATCAAAAACTAAAGCATCTTTTGATTACCATCTTTCTACTTCATTTAAATGATTATTTTTATGTCGAGTGTTTTCTATATGCTCAACTTATAGGCTTTAAAGTCAGAACCGAAAATCCAAAAAATCCAATTCGATTAATCCGAAACCGAACTTAAATAATCCGATCCAATCCGAAATTATTTGGATTGGATTTGGAATATAATTTTTTCAATCCGAAAACCAAAAATCCAAACCGCAATTTCATATTCAATCCGAACTGCCCGAACATCCACCCCTAGTTTAATTAGTAGAGATATTACGTTTTTTAGAAGTTATTAATGTTGATAATTGATGGATGATAAGTCTCTTCGTAAGGTTTGATCTAGATTAATTAAGAAAAAAGTTCAATCAACTTCAATTCCAAATTAATTGAGAACTGAACTGTGGGAATCTAGTCTAGTGTGAAACCTTAGAGTTCATCTTTCACTCAAATCCTGTATATTTATTACAAAAGTTCCCCATATAAATCAAAGAGTCACCATATAAATCTCAGAGTTGTGATAAAATCACGAAGCTAAACTCATAAAGTTTATATCATGAATCCGCCTTTGGATTATATTTATCTTTTGTATCAATTCAAATTATATAAATCTTTGGATCAGCTCACAGTCGCAGTCGTATTTCATTCAATTTCTTCATACCGTTGAAAAGAACAAACTTAAAAGTAGATTAATGGCTATTTACTTATTTTAGTTATTTATTCTTTTTGCCTGAACAGTTCGATATGGGTGTTGGTACTTTGTATCGAATCTTCAAACTACAACAAAAATTAGCTAAAATCAACAACAGAAACTGAAATTGGTTCTACTATTAATTATCATCCTGTGAAAATCCAATCAATTTTTTGAGACCAGGGAAAAAAGCAGAAGTGGACTCAGGAGTATTTTCGACCAAGTATTCATCAACCAAATCTTTAACAGACCTAGCAGACAAGGGATGAAAATGAGCAGCCCATTCTAACACAAAACCTTTAACCAAAACCCATTTCTCCTCTTCACTTAATCTCTTCCATTTCTTCTTCATTTCCTCCGATTTCAAGCCCGTGTAGTTGCAAAATTCCGAAAACAATAGGTCTCTGCTTTTCTTCAGTGCCTCCTGTTTCTGTAACATCTGGGTGTTTATTTTATCAACCTCTGTTGCAAAATCTAAGGCCAGCTCTAAATCGCTCATGTCGTTGTTGTTGGTACATGAGATTTTCGGAAATTTGTGTGGATTTTTGAGGGGATATATGGAGGGAACACAATTGATTTGGGTCTTTGTGGATTGTGAAGGGAAATAGTTTGGATAAAGAAGATGAATTCTTAAAGCCATGGAAAGAGGGATTTAGGTTTAAGTTTTTGTATTGGAATTTAAAGGGTTTCTTTATGAGTTAATTGTTGGGGCTCTCTACTATGTGCACCTAGTCTTGAATGTACTTCGTAAGTCACAATTTATGTGGCCATATTTAATTTACGGAAAACGACCAACAATACTTTTGACGTATTGAAAATGACTCAAAAATATACTCCGTTAACTTTTTAGTCTGCAAATACTCATAACGTTTGTTTTTTGACTCAAACTTACCCCTATATCTAACATAACTAACCTGGTCAATTTTTTGACTTTAACTTCGTCATATGGCATTTTTTTTAACCCGCTAGGTATATTATTTGTATTAAATAAAACCCACATGTATCTTTTAAAATATCCAACGACCCTGACTCGCTCTTATATATTTAGACGGTCGGTTAAAAATAATTATATTCGCTAGTTAAATATATAAAAAATATACATTGATTATATATATAAATATGTATATTATACATTAATATTTTAATATATATTTTACATGATATTATTTTTAGGAGAAATTATACGGTATAGTTTTCCCTTCAAATTTTGTAAATCTTAACAAGTTTAACAAATATAAATTTTAATTTACAAACATAAAAATGATAATATTCTATTTATATGATTCTAAAGGAGAAGCAAAGAAATAGATGGAAAGGTATTCTTTAAAACCTTTAATTATATACATATCCAACTGCTTAGCATATTAATGGACTTCACATGATCTTTTCAATGGGAACTAATAGTGTTTTAATATATAACGATAGAGCTAAAATATTAACAAAAACTACCGTTCCATTGTCAGATTTGCTTAATAAATTCGAGTTATAGATCATAATTAATAGAAAAAACTACTCTGTATAATTTTTCCTAAAAATAATATCATGTAAATATATATTAAAATATTAATGTATAATAATATATATTTTTATATATAATTAATGTATATTTTTTTTATATTTAACTAGCGAATATAATTATTTTTAGCCGACCGTCCAAATATATAGGAGCGGGTCAGTGTCGTTGGATATTTTAAAAGATACATGTGGGTTTTATTTAATAAAAATAATACACGTGGCGGGTTAAGAAAATGCCACATGGCGAAATTAAAGTCAAAAAATTGACCAGGTTAGTTTTGTTAGATATAGTGGTAAGTTTGAGCCCAAAAACAAACGTTAGGGGCATTTGCGGACCAAAAGGTTAACAGAGGGTATTTTTGAACCATTTTCAATACGTTAGGGGCATTGTTGACCCTTTTCCGTTTAATTTAACACGAAATTTCAGGGAAAAAATCTTTTGAATTTGTGATCTAGAACAAATCATAAATATTTGTTTGACTTTAAATTATTTTATTAAAGGTCAAACAAGAAGTTTAAAATTGAATTGTTCATAAAAAAAGAAAGTATGACACGTAAATTGAAACAAATGGAGTATTATATTAGCCTATAGCACAACTTTTATGATGTGGTCTCTGGCCGTTTGCATTAATCTCGATTATTCTATGGGATACGAGATATGTACATATTACCTCCAACCAGAACAAGTATGGACAACTCTATCCATCACTACTTAAATATTATAGAACAAAATGAAAATATCAATATTAAAGAGCTTCCAAATAAAGGTTTTAATAGTTTTGAAATAGATTTAAAAAGGTGAGTGGATCTTTTTTTATTTTTTTTATTCTCATCTCCTTTGGTTTTACTTTGATCTCATTTTGTCGGAGTTATTGCTCCTTTGATAATTCTGAGGTTGTAGGTGAAGGACGCAAACCATTTGACCAACCCCTATTGTTAAGGCAAGTGTACCGTAGAATACTAGAAGGGACAGGTATTACAGATTTATTTCTTGAGGAAACATGTGTGCATTATGGAGTACTTATAATAGCAAACCAATTTTATTGCAAAAAAGGAAAAGAGATAATTCGCACAACATTTTATATGATAAAAAATGTAGTTAAATATTTTTAATGAAGATGAACACTAATTGGGAATTGGCCAGAAATTAAAACCATTTCCAGGAAAAGAATAGTTCCTGCTTGGGGAAAAAAGGATTAAGGATATTTCTTTGATTAGCATAAAACGTGTTACTTGAACAGAAGCTTTTTATAACTCACTCTTAACACATCTCTAGCCCCTTTCACTGCATTTGCGAGTTTATCATTTTTTGTTCCATGAGTTCATTTACATCCTCCACCCCAAAACACAAAGACTGAAAAAGAAGAGAGTACACCTGAATGGAAACAAAGAAGAAAACTATTTATAAAAATGATGATACATGTTCTACAAAGTTTCAAAATGGGGAACAAATCCTCCTGAGGTATAATGTGAAAGGACAAATAATAATTCATAGAGTATGAACTCTAGGCCTTTTTGTTTACAATCAATCATCTGCTGCCTCCATTTTTCCTCGCAAGAAAACCATCGCAAACCAAAGAACATGAACAAGGCTATACAGCATCAAAGGTGCTAGAAAGAATATAAATGAACAGAAATTAGTGAACTGGTTCTACCACCTCCTTCAGATCAGCAAGTTTGTAATAGGTGTCAAAAATATGAGCCCGGATTCTTTGATCTATTATGAGCTCAGCTGCAAATAATTCAAGAAACCTTTGCAACCATCCACAACGAATCAATGATTACCCTGTCTCCAAAATATAATGATTGATGAGCTGGGCCAGAATATCAACCCATGTATCTGGAACACCAGGAAGGCACCAGTGCATACAGTCCTGACCCCAGACAGCCACAGCGTCCTTTTTCCCCAACCAAATTGCAGGATGGGCATCTGCCCTGAACTCGCTCAAGTGAGTCAGATCGAGGATTCTGATATTTGAGCCTTGTAGAACCTCTTCGATGAGATGATTTAGTCGCCTTGCTTCTTTGTTAACCCCATCATATCTGGGATCAAACCACAGGTCAAGCTGTTCAGGTATCAGTAAAATTTTCTTCAGAAAAAAACCTGTCACTACTTACTATTATTAATTTTCTAGCGCATAATAAGTCGCTACAATTTGTCAGCAAAAGTATATAGGAAACCTAATTGCCGCAGAAACAGTAAATATAGAACGAAAAGCACTTAATTGAAGGGAGTCAGATATCAAACAGATTAAGTTTCAAAATTCTGTATGAATTGTCAGCGAAAATAAGCTTTCTAAATGAGCTATAAGAGATCAGGTAGCAAATCCTCACTAAATGCCAACTCTTTATCAAAATTAACCACATCTATCAACTTTCCTTGCATTAAGTTAGGGGCTAAGCTATGCATTTTGAAGTGATTCTTTTTTGGGATGATAATTTGCATTTTTCAAGTGATAATTTCAAAGCACACTAGTACCTAAACTTTTTTAAACTTAGTGGTTCTAGAAAGAATTTTAGGGATCAAATGCCCCTAGGCCTGATTCTTAACATTATGAGCCAAGAAATAGTGCTGCCAAATGTAAATTGAAAACTGAAGTAAATGTATAATGTCTGCACTCTCATACACAAGGGACATTTCTACTGGTAACTAAACGAATTGACAACCTTGAAAAGTGGAAATCTCAAATTAACCAGAATGTGCTACACTTGCATACCTGAAGTTCATCAAGGGGTTCGTCCAATGTGCAACTACCATTTTGATTCCAATCACCCCCGTGAAAGTGTCTTGGCGATTGCAAGCGCCAAAATTTACGTGTTTTCTCTGGTAATTCTTTTTCTATGTAGGCAATCATATTCTCGAGAACAATCTTAAGCCCATCAAACATCTCTAAGGGAGGTTGAATCGGTTGCCCTGCCTTATAAAAAACAAGAGGCGTCTCTTTAGGGAATTTGTCAAAGCCCCACCTGGAAGATATCAATGAACATTAAAAACGAAGAAGTCAGATAATATGTTCTTAATAACTAGATTCGGTAAAACAATTTGAAATGTCATGCCAGGAATACAGAAACCAAACGTCCATAACTTTTCGTAGGAATGTCCAAATGATGAACGGCTTGGACCGTCGGAAACTAGACTTGACGGGCTACAAGTTCATTCA